GAGGTATATTTAATAATTGACCTGTCCTCCCATTTAAAGAGCTGACAGTCTAGCACCGTTTAAAAAAAAAGTTATTTTGTTGGTATAGTTCCTAAACAGTACGCAAACAAAGACTTCTTTTAGAAGTGGACAGTTTGCGTAGGTGTGGTGGGCTAACTCCGGTAGGTAGCAAAGCACCACATAGCTGCTCACTCACCCCCCACATCTCATGGTGCTATGAGGGAGAGAATTGGACAGGCAAAAGCGAGAAAACTCATGGATTGAGATAAAGACAATTTAATAAGTGAAAGAAAAAAGGGGAGAAAGCAAATGATGCAAAACCAGTCACTCGCCACCAGGAGACTAATGCCCAGCCAGTCCCCAAGTAACAGCAATTTTGGGAAAACTCCCCGCCCCACTGCGCTTTTGTTGCTGAGCATGACTCTGTGTGGTACAGAATATCTCTTTGGTCAAGTCAGGTCAGCTGTCCTGCCTGTGTCCCTTCCCAGCCTCTTGCCCACCCCAGCCTGCTCGCTGGGAGGGGCAGAGTGAGAAAGGTGCCTTGGCACTGTGTAAGCACTGCTCAGCAATAGCTAAAACACCCCTGTGTTGTCAACACTGTTTTGGTCACCAATCTAAAACATAGCACACACGGGCTGCTGTGAAGAAAATTAACTCCATCCCAGCCAAAGCCAGTACAACAGGTAACCCTAAAATTCCAAAATTGAAGTCACCATCTAGCAGATGGTGCAATCTTCAATTGCATATTTAGAGATGTTTTCTCTGACAAAACTCTTAATAAGAAGCAAACTATTTTCAAAATTAAATATAAGAGTAACATTCTCTTACTAAACAATAAATAAGTCTTTGTATCAATGAAAGATTTTATAAAGTCACTTCAATATAGAAACACGTTTAGCACAAGGAGAGTAAAATCTAGCAATGTGCTAGATTAACAATCTTTGCCACAGACTCTATGAAGAAAATTTTACTAATACGTTGACAGATCCCATAGTGGGACAGTATACTTTTTTGCCAGTAAATCAGTTCAAAACTGTGTTACTTGTGCATTAACATTTACTTTTAATACTAGGAGTTTATTTAACATACATTTGTGTGTGTACTAATACAAATGTGTGTGTATGTATATAACGGCAGGACCAAACAGAATTCACCGAAGAATTTTAAGGTAACCAAAAGATACATAAGGAAATAGCTCAGCTACTTGTAGTTTACTAGTTACAAAGATGGGGATGAACTCTAACTAAATGCAGAAGAACCTTAAAGGACAGAGTAACAAGGCAGTTAAATTACAGAAGTACTCAGTGCAAATACATGAAAAGTGGTACTCATGGAGGACTTCTGACTTCACATAAGAAACTTTTGAGCTGTTCAGAAGGAAGATCATGGAGTTATGAAGAGAAATATGGGGAAGATGTCAGCTCAGTACTTGGTAAAGATCAGAAAGACATTATTAGCGAAAGACCTAGTGAAGGACACAGATACCCTCTTTATGACTGGAACCAGAACATGTTCAAAGATGAGCTACAATGACGGTCAAAAGTTACTCAGTTTCAATGATATAAACGATGCACAAGTAAAGATTTTTGGAAAGCAGCTGTGTTAGAATGATAACAGTCTACCATGACAATGATAACATTTTTGCTTCTTTCAAGGTGCTTGAAATGTGCTTGTTCTTGAGAACAGTGGAAGTAAAACACTACAATAAAATTTAAGGAAGGATCTTCAGCTGTTCTGAGCTTAAACTTGAAGGACGGGGAGAGAAAGAGCCTGCTTCCCTCTACTAACTACCTGGTGGTAGTTCTGGTGCAGTGCAGGCATTCACGTAGTCCCATATTGCTGACGGTTTCATAACGGAAAATTAAACATAACTTTCTGTATACCTGCTCTTTTTTTTTTTTTTTTTTTTACATCTAACTTCTATTTGAAAGCAGATACATTCCCTGGAATTCTGCTACTTGGTATCTGTTGTTTTTTTCCTGACTTGAAGGAGAAAACTGGGAATATACAGAGGGATTCCAGTGTGTGAAAACAGGACTTTCAAATAGTCTTGCTGAGTGATGGATGAATACTATTCAGTCTTCACAAAAATAGGCATTAAATCAAAATTCATGCCAGCTGCAGGGGTTAAATGTGGAAAGTACAGCATGAAGATATTGTGTGATATTCTGGAGACAATTTGGATGAGCATATAAGCAAAATACATTAGAAATGTATTCACTGTTTTCCAATTTAATTTAAACATAGACAAAAAGCAGAGGGATGAAGCCCTCTCCTTTGAAAGCTTGATGTGATGTTTAGTAGTCAAATACTAATGGTGAGATCTGTATATGAATATAAGAGCTGTAAGGAAACTATTTTAATTACAAGTGACTCAGTTACACTGCTTTTTTACTGTATGTTTTCTACAACAAAATGTTTTATAAATTTTTCCACTGAAGTCTCACACACTTCTTTCATAGATTCCTAACACTGAATTTTCTGTGCTGTTTGTGTAGCCCTGCTGAAATCCAAACAGCATGCACTCTCCTTACATAAAAATACATTGCAGGCACTAGCACATTCAGCTTATGTTCAAGGTCACTTCTATTTCAGACAGACTAATAGGCTATCCTAATGTGGTTAAGTTATTTATTTTTATTTGAATAATTGTGCAGGTAATTATCAAGACAATAAGCTCATGTGGGCAGAAACTGATGTGAAATATTTGTTCTCTACTAATAGTGCGACCAAACCAAACCACTGCTATATGAATGATGCTGCAAGACAATACAGCATTTCTACTGAGATGGAGATTCATTTTTAAAGGCAGATAATGGCTTTATGTTTGTATGTCTTATCTTCTTTAGTTAACAAAGACTGTGTTTAGTTTGCTGTTGAACATCTGGGGCTGATCGATAAGCAACATATATCCTATCTCTACTTTTCAAGGACTGATTCACTTACAACTATATATATTGGATCTAAAAAATGCTGTTGCCTGAAGAACTTCAAGCTAATATTGCAAGTAGCTATCATCCCCTGTAATGGTGAAAGTGATTTACATCCTATCCAGCAAACTTCAAAAATGTCAGCTAGATACTCTTGAGACTATGCTTGCAAAAAACTGTATAAAACATTATTGTTCAGATGGGCTTTACACTAGATTCAATTTTTATTCTTGGGGACTGTCTCTTAATTTCTTTTAGGACTCCCCTCAAGATTACTCTTTGTTTCTTTCAAAGAGCACACATTCATCATTTGACACAATTTTTCTGTTTTGTTCTCCTCTCAAGAGGAGAAGGAATTCTTCATGCCCCATCTCCATGTGATTGCTTTGAAGGCTGCTAAGAGGGCTGCTTTTACAAGCTCTGAGGCACTATCTGTCTGCAGTCATAACCTAAAGAGATAGAGAAGTCCTCCTTGGTATAGTTTGCAGGTTTGGAATACAGCTGATCAAAGATGCATATCACTTTGGGGTTGAAAGGTCAAATATTTGTAGCCACTTACTTTAAAAACACACTGTGAAATATTACTAGAATTTGCAGAAGAATTAGTTCTAGCTTGGAGGGTATTAAAAATTCCTCAGCCCAAAATGAATGGTTTGAATGCTAGGAAAGGTGTTTCTAGCTTGCCTAAACACTAATCCACACTGATTCCAAAAAAAAGCAGAGATTAACACATAAACAATTTGATGCAAAATGTACAAAAATGTCATAATATATCTCAGACAACCGTTATAACACCAAGAATTTGGGTTAAATTTTAAAGTAATTTAAACAAGTTAAGAAGGAAATTTAAAGTTAAAGTTTTCTAACTTTTTACTTTTTAACTTTACCCTGTGGTAACATTTCTCAATAATTAGAGAGGATAATTGAGCCAAAAAAAACCCCTAACATATTTCTGCCTTTCTTAACAAACCTCTTTCCATGAGCTGTAAATTATAAGCTAAATAATGAATTTGCTTCTGCATTATAAATACATATACCCTGTAGTAAAAGTAGTATAATTTTGGAAAGGTTTTGTTCTATTTTTCTCCCACAGCACAACTACTGAGTACTGCCTCAACAACAAAACTCTCCTTGGTTTTAACCATAAAACTCTAACCAGCATCTTGGTGACTGCATTTGTGACTAATGTCACATTAAATACATGAAAGATATTATTGAAGGAACAAGTGCCAATGTCTATAGCTATAGCTTTATAACATTCAACATCAAAAAATGAGCTACAATCATAAGTAACTGTTTGAGCACCTCCAGCTTTCCTGATATTTGATCATCTCTCAGTGCAGCCTTTCTCTTCATATGTCATTTTATGTGGATAATATGCAATGTTACAATTTCCTGCATTTACTGTTGATCTTTGTTAAATTGTAAACAGATTTATGCAATACCCCATAACATAAAAATTAAATGTTATGCTTAACCATAAAAAAATAACTAAAAAACTATGAAGACCTGTAGACTTTAGTTAAAAAAATCAGTCCATAAATATATTTTCTTTTCTCTTTCATTCTGATAGTGCCTAACAGCAGATTTTTTGTTTGTTCTTATTTTCCTTGACAGCTGTCAACATTTCACTGGCTCAGAAATAATTAAACAGTTGGTTATTTTCCTGAGATTTCCTATCCAGCAATTAACTGTCAGACACTTCCCTTTAGAGACCAAAGCCTTCAGCTTTACTGACTATGATCTGATAGCAGAGCTAGAGCTTCCTGTTATGTCCTCAGACCCATTTATACACTGCAATGTTAAACCATCTATTTCTTCCACAGAGGAATAGAAAAAACATAATCTTTCAGAGAAAAACACAAAAACAAACAAAAAAACCAAACCAAACCAAAACAGAACATAATTAATTAAAATATTTTTATATTATAAACATATACCATTTCAACTTTCACATGTCTTTTAAAAATATGCCTATATAGATTTTCATACGCACAGACATACGAGTTTTAAGGACAAATTTCAAACTCAGGTTCACAGATGTAAGGGTGTAGTATGTCTGCCCCTTTTTGTAAAGCCCTCTAATGTTTACCTCCACCAGTAACTCTCTTTTCTACTGAAAGAGTGGAAGAAGCCTTCTCCATATTGTGGCATTCCCCTTTATTGAATTGATAAATATTCTGCAATGCTAGTGATAGTGCCAGGGACCTACTTAGTGAACAGGATTAGGTTTTTGAGTCAGCTGTTGTGTACTGAAGAAATATCTTGCATTCCATGAGTGTATTATACTTTTTATAAGATTACTGTGAAGACTTTTGTTGTATTTGTTGCGTGAATTGAACAGGGTCAGGGCAGAGGCTTGACTTTAGGTGACTGTGCAGGATGGGGTGTGTTCCCAGTAAGCAACACAGACAAAAAAATTAAAGCAGCACCCATTTATGTCTCAGAAAATCATCACAACTGTGAAGGTGCCATTTCCCAGCGTTCGGCTGTGTGGTTCTGTTACCACCGCCAAAATAATTCCTCTCATGTACCACTGCGTTCACATCTTGGTCTGGTCTGATATTGTCCGTTCATTCATCTAAACAGTTCATGGTTTTTGGAAAAGATGTACTTTCGCCTCACGTGGAAGATACAAAATGTCACACAGGTTCTCAGGCTATAATCAAATTCTCTCTGAGGACAATGAAAGGGGAATGTTTTCTCTTTGTGTGTGTGTGTACGTACTTACTTTGTGTGCACATAAAGATATCACAAGCATGCATATATATTTATCTAACTTCATATTTGTTTGAAATCCAGCCATAAAAATTCAGTCAGACTCAGGCAAGGATTTGTTGTAATTATTTCTTAACTTTATCTGCTTTAATATATGATCAGTGAATTTGGAAATGTTTTAATTTTTCCAGTTGCATTCTAAACCAGGATTTTAATATACATAGTTTCTGCTGATGTCAGCACAGAAATAACAATTTTTCAATCACCACATATTTGTCATACAATTTTAAGACTCTTTGTGTGTTTCCATGCAGTGATAACTACTTCTTCATTGCATGCGTGCAGGCTGCTCCTGAGGCTGGCAGCAAATTTATCTATAGTTAAGCAAGTGCCTAGCTGCAAATAATAGTTACATGGGTCAGCGTTTAATAAAGGTTCGAAGCTTCAAGTATTGCTATAAAAGTAGTTTTTCAGAAGGACTTAGCACCAAATTTGCGTCCAGTATATTGAATTCTCCAGAAAGCGCAGGTGGTTATTTTAATGACTAATAAGAATGGAACTTTCTCAGCGCTTATTTTAAATGGTGAGCTTTTCTGAGCATCAGGACATTGCAGCCCTCAGTGGGCTATGAATGGACTATGCATGTAGGTTAGTCCTACCAGTTATCCAAAGAGATCGGTAAAGGCAGAGAGGTTTTCTTCCATGCTTCCAGGAGGATGCCCTTACCTGTGGGCTGTAGAAAGCTACTTACCCTGTTTCTGGTCTAATGTGTCTTTCAATCTACTGTATAGTGACTGTATCTTATCCAGGCTTACAAATCAGTAGTAAGGAGTGCCAAGGTAAACAGAAGCTGTGGTTTTTAACCCTGCTGCTTTGAACAGGCTGAGAACATTGTAATATAAAATCTCAAATCAGATGAAGGTAAAAGTCATTTAAGTAGCAAGCCTTAGTACTGTACTTAGTACTGTACTGGGAAGTTACACTGTTTTAATGGTTCGCCTGGTGGGGTAATACTACCTTAGCGGCTCAGTTTCTTCCACGAACACTGACAGCATGGGTCTGGTATGTAAAGCTGCTCAGTTCCACAGAAGATTCCTGAAACTGGCAGTGATACAAGATTATCTGATCAGCTGTTTTGAAATAGCATAAAGCAGCTTACAAACACAAATATAGTAAATACTGGTTGGATCCCTATCCTTTAACTAAGTCAAACAGCTAGCAAGAACGCTCACAAAAAATTAATCTTTTTCATTTGTTAGATGTGAAGCTCTATAAGAATCTGAGCTCTATGAAGAAGGTACAGATATATCAAGAATTCTCACTGAATTGCTGAGAGGTATTTTTGTTCAAGGCAAGAGTTTCGTAATAGCTATGAAATCAAATTAAAGTATAGCTGGCTCACCAAAGAGAAAAAGTGTGATTTGACTTGAAAAATGGCAGGACACCCAGGAATGTTATTTAAAGAGTGCTTGCTTTCTCCCTCCTCCTTTGATTCATGTCAAAGAAAGATGGTCACTTTATTCTGTGGTCAGCAGTATGGCTGGGCTTGTACAGAGAAAAACTGTATTGCATCTGAGATTGTTGGTAGTTATTATGTACTTTGTATAAAGCAGAAACTCTGCTAGCCAGAAGCTGCAGTCTAAGTAAAATATGAGTCTGCAGGTGGACACAATGACAGATGGAAGAAAGTACCAGGTTATTTATTACCTGGTAAATACCATATTAAACTGTTACAAATAATAGAATCATAGAATAATTAGAACTAAGCTGTTTATGTCAAGTGTTTAAATATACACGTCTTTTAAGGACAACTTGGAAGGAGAATTTATTGTTCTGATTTGTTAAACCATAAAGGGAGCTCCTTTGAAAGGAAAGCATCCTTCTCAAAAAAAGGATTGTATAAATAGTGATTGTAGGCAATCCACTGTGGCACTGACAGTGGAGTAGAAGCAAGAGTCAACTTCCTAGACTAAAAGAGACTATGGTTAGAGTGATAATAGACTGGGCAAGTCAACAGACAAGACAAGACAAGGATCCATCTCTTTTTTTTCCAGAGTAGGCATTGCCTCTGTTTCGGACAGCTATTTATACTTCATATAAGAGAGCTCCTTCTCAAGAGAGTCTATCTCTCTCACTTACTGAAGTGGATTGTCTCAGATGGGATTGTGATGACAGTAACCCTATTCTCAGTAAACAAAACCTCTTGAACTATATAATAAGATCAGGAGGACCGCTATGCCTCAGAATGAAAGACTGCACTGTCAGGATGGCTTTATTATGCAGCTTTGCCAACTTTCACTCTATATAGAAATCCTCAATGCATGCATTGGTTTTTCAGGGTCCTGCATTTTTTAGATCTGGGGGTTTCTTTGTTTGTTTCCTGCTAAAAAGAACTGAATGGGTGGCAAAATGATGCGAAACTTATCATACAAAAAGGTGGATGAGCACAAGTCAGGACTACTATTTTTGATTCTTAGCCTGCATTTTTTGAAAAAAAAAAAAAAATGGTGGGAAAAAATGTATTATACTCATTATTACTGTGAATATTGATAACATTGTCATTGTTTTTAGGCTGTGAGAAGACAAAAGAGTCTTGAACAGAGTATTCAGTCTGCCCAGGAGACTGACAAAACCCTCCGTTTAATCCAAGAGTCTCTTGCTGTTATTGACAAACAGCTAACAGCCTACATTGCAGACAGAGTTGATGCTGCACAGGTCCCTCAGGAAGCACAGGTAAGCTATATACAGGTTGAACTGATGTGCTTACTGGTTTTCTTAATCAACTGAAGAGTCTTTGGTTGTCCCTCAGCCTCATATTAATAACGGGTGTTTGCATTATGAAAGTGCAAGTAAATTTTAGGTAGGATTACTTTGAGAAGTTCAAGCTAATTTTCTAGTAAAGTCATATTTTCCTTCTGTTTTATATTAAATACCTGTCCAGAAGATGTAAAGAACTATAAATATCATGGGAGACTATGCAGTAACTATAAAATGACAAAGATAAAAAATGTGACTCTTTAAAATCCAGTTCCCATTCTAGAAAGAAGAAACTTACCATCTTCACTACTCTTAGATGGCTCTTTTACAAAGTTGATTACATGGCCTAGGGATTGTTACTAGATTATTGAAACATAGACAACATTGTTAATTATTTCATGATGTGCACATAAATGTACTTATACTTCAGTTTTTACAGCTCATGTAAGTAAGTTTAACAGAAACAGCTTTCCCCATTCTTTAGAAATGGTTTATTGAGCCTTTGAAATAAAATTGTACATCTAATTCTAATTTTTACTCTTTCATTGTTTCTTCTATAACATCTGCTTTACTGCAGCATTAAAATGGTAAGAATACAAATTAAATAAAACCAAATATCTCTGGTATAAAATTATTAACAGTCTACAATATTATGTACAGCAACTTTTCTGTAAATTCCACCTAAATTTAGGAAGTCAGATTACAAAAAATACCAAACAAAAAAGGCTACAGGGAAATTGAAAATGAATGCTTTATAATGATTTTAGAAAAGGCATTCAATTGTGTTTTTTCTGGCATGCCTGCAAAGTTTTAAATCATAAAAAATAAGTGTCTTGTATAAAGTAGCTTAGATGATCTTAAATATATTCAAAGCTGAATATATGTAGCCCTGAAAATCATGTTTTATCTCATTTAAAAATAAAAGTTTCCATGTCTTTTGAAGGAAAATGTAGACAGATGTACCTTTCAGTTGCTTTTCTAGTGCATGTGTGTTTGCAGGTACATGGAGATATTTTTATGTGTGTGTGTCTGATTTTAAAAAGTTATATTTAGAAAACAGGATCGTATTTGCATTCAGTCTTATTTTGAAACTGATTCTAATTTATTTGCTTCTAACTTACATCAGTATAAGAATAGAATCAGATTCAGATGAATTATTGTTCCAGTTTGAATCCTAAGCTATGTTAGCTATTAGTTGACCCTCCTGAATTATTTTTCTCCTTCCTTGCAATGTGAATAATGTAAACAATTTTTTTATGAAATAGGATACAAATCAGCATTTGTTAAAGATGTATCAGTTTAATTTCTCATCTTGTAATTATATAACTGTAATACATAAGAAAAATTTTATATGAAAGTGTGCTTTTTTCTGGTGTATTTGGACCCTTACATTGTAGTAATTTTTGGTGGTGCTTCATATATCCCATGGACACTTCTGGTTTATGTGTGCCCTCAGGTACAATATTGGCAATGATCACAGATTGTGTAAAAGGAAGTAATTCAGAACTTCAACAACTGAAGCAGCATAAAATTCAACCAACCTTAATTAGCACACTTTCATGGGAAAATTTCAGCTCAGTGCTTTTGCAGAACTTGTTTTTGTTCTTGAGATCTTATTGTCTGATGTCAAGTTCACCTGATTATACTATATCCACTGTGGGAAAACCAGCGTAGAGGCTGCTGAGTTTTTCCCTTTCATGTTTTCATTTTAAGATGCCAGTGGGACCTAATGAAAAAAACTTAATTAACAACTGAACAGATTTAATGCAAATACTGAAGTTCTCTGAAGTTCAGTTGTGAAGTTCTTTAAAATCCTTAGAGGGAAAGGGAATAAAAAATCAATTTTATGCAGCTAAATATACTGAGTCATTCCTTCAGCGAATGGCCATGCCAACCAGTGGCAGAATAGGCACATATTGAATGGTCACATCTCCTGCAGAGCCTCTGCTGGCACAGCTCTTTTGTAGAGCAGAAAACAGTTCATTCATATAAGACATCCTACTATAGTGTCTGCACAGCTGGAATGGGAATCTTTCAGTCAAATGATGTTTGTTCCTGGGCAGGGGTCAGTTTATCCATGCTGAGGGATTTAGCAAACTGCTCAGCAATATGTGTTGCATTTCTAAAAGAACATATGGGAGAATTTATAGTCAGAAAGCTGTTGAGGGTTTGGGAGCTTTGTGTGTTTGCTTCAAAAATTCAAATATGTTTAGAGCTTTGATAGGAGGAATAATCTTTGGTTCAGCTGATTGGAAATGAATCTGAGAAAACAAAATTATATTTAGCTCCTCTTTTTAAATGAAATGATCGGTTTAGTTTATTCAGAAAGTTGACAGAAAGAAAGGGGAGTTAAGTATGTGCTGTTCAACTTCTCCTTTGGATCATTTTTTGATTGTAAATTCTGCGTGCTTCTTACTCCACCATGTGGCACTGAGAATTTAATGCTAGAGAGCCACTGCCAACTCATTTTGAGTACAACTAAAGATGCTGTATTCAGACAAAACAATCTAACAGCAACCGCACGGATAAATCAGTTCAGATTCCTCAAGGTGTAATGATGAAAAAAGCTCAAATGAGGTAAAGCTTAATACAATATTCCAGAAGGAAAGATTGTCTGTATGCTTGATCTCATGATCCCAAATGAAGTCTCTTTAATTTCTCTAAATTTATCAAGAAAATACAGGGAATGAAGTCATCATCACAGGAATTTGCCAGTTGCTGACTTTTTTTCAAGTACTCTTTAACTGACAGGAAGAAAATAAATCTGTACGGAACATATTACATTTATATAACAAAATATTTTTCAGATAATTATTTGTAGCTTTGTTATTAAATAGCTTCTGGTGGGAGAGAGAATCTCCACTTTCTACTTCTGTTTAGTCTGAGCAATTACATGGGTTTTTTTATATTATGGGACAGAAAATACACTTATTTCACTTCTCACCTGCATGTGACAAATCACTTGTCTGTTGTTCTCCCTGTAAACTTATGTAAAATGCAGTGTGGAGAATAAATGAACAATATTGTGTTTCTGAGAAAAGCAAAAGTGATATACTTTGTCTTTTCAATAAACTGAATAATTTCAGTTCTGTAGTGATAAGCACTACACGCCTGACTATTTTCTAAGTGAAGATGGTCATTAATCTGTTTTTAAAATATTGTTGTGCTACGTTCAAAACCAAAGTTAATGTGATGATGTAATGGCAGAGTTGTTCAGTTGTGCAATGTTACTTGACACGAATAATGCCATGCTTCATTGCCTTCAGACTAATATTTGGGGACAAAGAATTCACAATTGTCTACTTAGTAAAATGTTTAATGTTAAAGGTGTTTACGCTTACTTTTCCTCTGCTAGAAATTGTGAGAATTATTTTGTTCAGCCATGTGTAGATCAGTGGTCAAAGAGGGAATAGCTGATAAGCGTTATTCAGAAGTGTAAGCTTACATTGTGTTAAGTATTAAGTTTGAATATCCACACAGATTTCTGTAGTAGACAGGTTCTCACACTCTACACATCTCCATAGCATCTGAACACTGCATTAACTGTGTTTTAACTGCACAAACTGCATTTGTCATGTCCAACTTATTCAGTCTTGCCTTGTCAATCATGTTTCTATCCTCTGATGATTTGCTCTTCTCATTTGGATTTTTCAGTTAATCTTTCTTGAAAGTAGTGTCTAAAACAAAGTATGCTGTTCTTGTTGAGACTTACCTATGTGTTATTCCTGCTATTCATCTTCTACATGTATTATATGCTTTTCTTCTTTTTCTGCAAAGGTGTGACATCATTGGCACATATTCTTTTTGTGCTTTTAAAGATGGGTACTTCATCTTCATTTTTCTAATCTTCTGGTACTTTGTTTATCCTTTCAGAGTTTTCAAAGGTAAACCACTAACAGTTCTGAAATTGTTTCAGATATGGTTTTTTGTCTGCTAGAATCATGATCTTTCCATTTATAAAGATTAACTTACCAGAATGCTCTCTAAATGCATTATTTCCTCCATCCATTAGGCTGAGATCCGACTCCTTAGGCCTTGATACCAACTGCGAAAATAAGCAAAAATGAGGTTAAACTGAGCACCATTCTTGAGAGCTGTTAGACTAGCTAAGTAGTATTTAGAGAAATACAAATCAGAAAACCTAATACACCAAGAAGAGCTGGCAAGCTGTTCTCTACAACTCAAGAGAGCCAAATCTGCAAATTCATATCCAGGCAATTTTAGTGTAAGAGTTATGTGAAGGACTCATTAATTATAAAGGTAATCTAGTATAATTTGAGTTCATAATTTGAGTATACAAAAAAGCAGAGAACAATTAGAAGTTCACCGTTTTGCCTGAGTCATATCATATTGTCATCATCTTTTTGTGCGACTGCAAAACTCATAGGGTTGCTGTCAAGTCCAGGCTTTTTTATGCAGTAGATCTTAAAGAAATCCATAGTAGAAAAGTGATGTTCTAGGCTAAACTTAGACCTTGTTTTCCTAGAACAAACAGTGGAGGAAACTTAAGGTAATGTAATTGCCCTTGCCTTCAGATCCACCACTCACTGCTGAAAGATTTACTACTCTGGCTATGTAATTTTCAGTTCTCGAGAATCAAACAGTATTCGATTGCCCAACACTTAGTAATGCCTGATGTATTTTGTTGGAGGATGTGGAATATGGACAGGTGAACATGGATATAGTAGAGGATAGTATAACTGCTTAGTTTACTTTGTATAACATGTTTTACATAGCATGTTCTGCTTAAAAATGTCTATGAGAAGGGAGCAGCATATTTATTTTCTGGCATCTTCCAAACTAGGGGGAAAACCTTCTATCTGAGAACAAAGATGCTGAGCTGGAAGCAGCTTCTGGGAGCCCAGTGGGACAGAAAAGGACATTACCCATGGGCTGGGGCGTGCAGCCTCCCACTGCAGGAGCACCTGCGAGAGCAGGGGACAGTGCCACAGCCAGCCCTTAGGGGTTACCTACATCTACCTACCATAGATTCTGCCTATAGCTCAGGATGCCGCTGAAAGTTGCTAGGCAGGAAAGAAATCTTGTGAGGAAAGGACCAACCCTGCAAGGTCAGAGAGAGGTATAAAAAGATCTTTCTGTTTACTATGTATAACCCAAGAGATCCAAGTGTCCTCTCTTTAAGGAACTACCTGTCTTTAATGTATCACCCTGTGTTTCCATAAATCTTTACTTTAGAAAGGAAAGCCTTTCGATGGCTTTCATTAAATTTCCCATGGAGAAAATAGGATGTTTCTTCTCGAGGATTTGGCCAGTTTTTTATCACAGAATGAAAATAACCTTTTTGTATGGGAACAGGTTTTATAAATCATGTTTTTAGTTAGTAAACAGGAATTTAGTGAATATTTTTCTGCAACGGACTTTAAAGAGAAAGAGAAATCAGAAGAAAAAAAAGGAAGAAGTGTGGTTAATTCTAGCAACTTTATTTTGACCTAATCCCTTTGCTGTAGCAGTGTTTAATGAACTATAATTCATTATGTTTAGTGTATTTTTTGTGCAAGTTTATAAATCAGATTGAGACTAGTAAATTGGCCACTCTCATTACAGTGCACGCCCATAGGAAATATTTCACCTATTTGTTGCTTATTTTAAATTCAAGTGACATCAGGGCTCCCTGTCCCATTTTGGAACGTGATAATATACATATCACTTGTATCTTTCTTCTGGATTTATCCAGCTTTTGAGAACTTACCAATTTGCTGATCTTGGTGGTATAGTCAATATTAACTGCAACGTAATTCCTCCCTGTGTTATGAATTTCTAGCAACTAATATACAATACAATAAAAAGAGGTCCAGCAGCATGAAATTAAGATGTCTTGGAGGATAACGTGCACTATAATACACATCTCCTGTGACCTCTCCCCATTCCTGAAGTAACAGAACCAACAGAGTCTTCTTCCTTCTTAAGGAGCAGACAAGAGAGATGAGAGGTTTCCCACAGTTCTGGGGTGGAAAATGGTGTCCCTGACCTGCCGTGAGAAAGCAGTTTCATCAGTGTGTTTTCCAGAATGTCTTTCAAACTTTCAAACTTGCTATACTACATCAGCTGGAACTGTCAGCTGTTTCTGTAGTGTAGTCTTTTCAGCATTACTCATACTAAAATCTGTGTTTGCACATTAGATGTACAACCCATCTAATCTTGTCTTTTCAGCCATTATTCCACAATATTAGTTCTATTCCACAATTTATTCCAAAAATTATGGTTTTGTATTTTTATCCTTTGGTTATAAATAAATCACTTTTTTTTAATTAAATACAGAAGGTTGGGGGTTTGGCTTGTTGGTTTTTTTCCAAATTGCTTTGCATTGTTATGATTTTGCTGATTATTGCTGATTGGCATTTGTTTTTTGTAAATATGATGACTGATTTTCTAATTATGGTAGCAGGCATTGGTGGGAAGTGATATATAATCAAGGCTTTTAGTTCAATTTTCTGTTGCAAATAATGTTACAGAGTTTGTTTCTATGCCCTGTTACCTTTTTCTAAGCGCTGTTCTTAAAGCATGAGTTGCAGCTAGGTTTGTGACAATTTTCAAATGAGACAAATAGTCATGTTGGTTCTTTTAGCTTTCCTTTCTCTGATTCAGGATAGGAAAAGTTTTTCCAAGAACTGGCTACACTGCCAATTCTCTGCTTTTTGCTATCAATATAGCAAGGCTCTCTGCATTTCACTGTTCATCTTTTTAAAGTTAAGACTAGTAAATGAGAGAAATAATGTATTGCATGCCCTTGGGACTGAAATCCTTTTGCTCTAGAAGTGATCCTCGTGAGAATAGGCATAATCAGTGCCTTTGGTCTTGTAAATATAGTATATAGTATATGTATATAGTTTTTATACATATACACACACTTATATTTTAGTTTTTATATATATATATTGCAAATTAATAAAATTCCTGAAAAAAATGCCAGTCATGGAAAATGAGAATCCTTAACCTGGAGGACAAAATAATTTAAGTGATATTTATTAGTTACATACACTACCTTATATTGTGATGTTGTAGAAATTAAATGAAGGCAGTTTTTGCTGCAAAGCTTTTACTCTTTATCACTTACTCTGACATCAAAACACAGAATTAGAGAGAACAAACGTATTAGAGGAAAGCTCTCCTGTAGAGCAATTTTTAAAAAGTAAGATAGAACAATCTCCATGCAATGTCCCATAATACCTAATTGCTTAAACACTACTCTTATCTGTACTGTGCTGTTCTGACTTATTCAGATAAGAACTGTTCAATTATATGCTTTCCAGAGTGACTCTGAAGTTCAACAAAATAAACTGGAAAATATAACCAAAATCAGTTAATTGATGAGGTGTAGAAGCAAAGAGTTGAAATATTTGACGTGATATAGTATATTTTTCTGACATTCAGACTTGCTTCATCCTTGTATATACAGTTCTGACTTCCAAGACATCAAGAAATTATTTGTCTTCAGGAGCTAACTAATGCTGAGTCACCACCAATAATTTGGTCTGTGTGCTGCACAAACACAGAAGATAATCTTGTTACAATTCTAGTACACTTCAAGGGGGAAATTTTAAACTTAGATAAGGAGAAAAGAAATACTCCAAAATATACTATTTAATAAACCTTCTCTCCTTGTATTGCATTTTCCTTTTAATTGACCATCTTTGTTTTCTCAAAACTAACATATCATATCTAAAAAAATTCTATTATTTGCTCCAAGTGCTACTGGCCATTTAGTAAATAGTCTTGACAAGGAGAACTCAAAATACTCACTATGAAAAATAGAAAATGTACAATTATGAAAATTTTAAATGAAAAATTTCATCTAAATTGACAGCTTTCTGTCAGTCATTTTGCTTTTACGAATGCTTTGCTTCAGAAAAATATTTTATTTCTCTAAATAATACTGGATAGTTTAGAATTGTAAATATATTTTCTCAATTAAATTTAGTAATGACTGAATAATTTTCTGTATTTTTGTAAGTCTTTTTCTCTTAAAATTTTCTTTAATACATTTCCAATGTAACTTGTGAAAAACTTTCAGTGTAGTATTGTTATATACAAGACATTATAATGTTATACAAGTCATTATAACCATGTAATACTCCTATAAAGCAGATAGCATACAGTGTACACAGCTTTGTACTTGTATGAAGATGTTATTAATAATAATGTATATATTAATTAATAATGTATGAAGATGTTATTAAAAATACCTATAATTTTTACTTATAGTCAAACTTTAAAGGATCAAATTGTAATTTAAAACCCCCTTTTCTTAATTTGCATAATTCTTTATAGCCTTTTTTGAACTACTACACAGTTTTCACATTTTACAAGTTAATGTAGTGTAAGATAAATGCATGTGCATATATTTCAACTTATAGCTAGTCTTTAGTGTATCTGAGAAATGCTTGTATATCATAGAAAAAAAAAGATTAAATCTAAAATCGCTTTTTAATCCAGGAACAATGGCCTCAAATACCTTTCCCGGTGGTAACATACCTTGTCTTTATTTCATAGGGTAATCGTTCTCAGTAGTGCTTGTCTAGCAATCTTGCTAATAACAGTTTCTCATTTTCTAACAATTTAAACATAAAAATATGTGAATCACTCTAAATTATGTTGTATCAATATATATTATGGGGATTCTTTTCCATTACATTGCACTAGCCAACACTGCTTAAGTTAATTGTTTTGTGTAAGGTTGATTTATGGTGAACCAACAAGGCTGATATTTCTCTTGTGATGATTTGATTGCACACTGGTTTTGCAGAAACAGATAACCAGATAACCAGAAATGTGTGTTAGAAAATGCATTAAGTTAGTGTATTAATGAACTACATGTCATTGTGCATTTACCATATCTACAGATACTGGACATAGATTCTGGTCAGTAATATGCCACAAATTGTATGCTGTTTTAGATATAACACAACTCTGTGAGATGAAGATGTTGTTATGCATATAGGATACTTTGATCAGTTTTCTCTGAACTCACCTGATTAGTCAGTGGAAATAATAAGAAATAAGAATAGTGAAGCAAATCACTTTTCTATTTGTATTTTTCTTTTCTGTGATTAATTTTTAATTTTCTTCCCAATGATAATAGTTGCTTTCCTTCAGGTAAGAGAAATCTATGGGGTTTTTGCATCCAATTTCATTACAATTTCCTTAGCAAGATTGTGTCATTACTGTCACAGTGTCAGAGTTATATATGTTTGAGCAAGAGAAGGTTTTATTATGATCAAGAGAAACTAAACTGAATGATTTATGGGATAGTGAACAAGTAATTCTTTGAATAATTTCCTCTAATGATCCTGTATATAGTGTAGTACTTCTGTTTAATATCTTTCAAAATCAACTGTTCCAAATAATATTAACAACAATATAAACATTTTCTTCAAACCCTGCTGATTACTGTCTTTGTTTTTCAATAGAAAATACAATCTGAATTAACAAGCCACGAGATTAGTTTGGAAGAAATGAAGAAACGAAACCGGGGTAAAGATGCTGCCAAAAGAGTGCTTTCGCAAATCGATGTGGCACAGGTATGCAAATTTCATTTCCTCCATCTTTCCTTCACTCATGCTAACAAACAGCACGAGTAATACTATTACTATTGTATGAAATGTTCTTAAGGTATCTCTTCTGTTTTAGCTGCTCCTTTCTAGCCAGGAAGTTAGTGTGGTTAATGTATACCATCCATATCTTCTTACTGCTCATTTTTCTATTACAGCCTTCCTAGCTAGTTGGCAACAGTTCTAGGGTACGCAGAGCTGACGTAACCAACTGGTGGAGACACTATATAAAGGGTGTTTTGAATGTGCTGCGGTTGCAAGAAATAAAACCACAGTGAGGCTTTTTGGCATACCTTTTGAGGTATTTGAAAATATTTAGAGTTAAAAGTATTTTAAAATATTTGGAAATATTTGGTAGAACTGCATTTGAAAGACAAATCTATGCTGAGCAGTGCATTGCAATCATCAATTTAAAATGTTAGCTAATGCGTTATTTCATCTAGTTTAATAGACATAGAGAAACCTGTTCGAAACTGAAGAAGACTTAATGAACACTTAGGAAAAATATACATTTTTACCCATTAATCTCTGATGGGTTCTTAACTATTTTTCTGCTTTCATTTTTGGCATCAGTGCCAAAGTTCCCCAGGCTACAAAACAAATTATCAAAATTCCTTAGGAAAGGCAAAGAATTTCATTATGGTATTAACACTAAAAAAGGCCATCTTTTTCTTCATCTCTGTCAAATATTTCTAGGTATCTTAGCTTCAAATTTATATTTATTATGGATAACATCAATGGCTTTTTAACAGTTAGTTAATGTTTCCTCTTATCTACAGGACTAGCTTTTTTTTGTTGATAATATTTATGTTTCCTTATTTTTCTGTCTTTCTTCACACTAACTCACCTTCTTATGGTCTCCATGGCAGCTGTGATGTTGCCCATATTTCATCAGTGAAATGCAGGCATGAGATTACTTTGTATCTAAATGTTTATAAATTCAATAGCATGCAAGGGAGCACTACCCTTTCTAGGTGCCTTTTTCTTTTCTTAATCCATCTTTGTGCAGATATTTTTTTCTTCAAAAGGCTCCTCTAGATGACCATAAGCATCAGTTTGAGTTTTGACAAATTGGTGGGGTCATTCTGAGAATCTGTTTTGCTTACATTAGATAAAATATGAACAAAAAATTGCAAATGTACATGCATAATGTAAATACCAACTACCAAAAAGGGTAAAAGCTGAACCCTTGATTCCAAATATTTATGACGATATTTGATTTTAGGCCAGTGAAGTCTCTTGAATTCTTTTCCATCATTGGTCAGTATCTTTGGTAATAAATCACATTTCACAAGATTTGTCTTTACTTACTTTTTTCCTGAAGAGCATTCTCACTTATAAATAAATACTGGATGCATTTCTTTTTTTTGTGCTGAGTAATATTTCTAATTTGACATATATTTATTCTAATATTAGTTCAATTATCTAGACAGAAAGTAAACAATTATGAAAATAAGTAATTTCAACGAGATTGTGAAACAACTGTTAAGTGACCAAATTTATTCTGGCTTTTTGGATTACGGTAGCTTGAGAGTTAAATTCTGTTTTTTAAATTTAAAGGGAAAAGGACGATTAGCAAAATAAAAAACTGACATAGTGATTTAAGACCTACTTAGTCCTACTAGGCTAAGAATTGTTACATGAAAGTGAAATCTTCTCTGAGGAAGGGCTATTTTTGGAAATTCAATAGTAAATTCTTCGCAGGAAGAAATGATACAGCAGACAAATGACGTTCTTGTTTCTTTATTACTTTCATCTGTCTTTTAAGGTAAACACACTTGTCAGAGTAAAAAGATAATTGACTCCCTTCCCTTACCTCATTACTAATTCCTAGTGATATTTTAACATTATTTAATGTAATAAAATATAAAAGAATGTTAAATCTCTAAAAATATTTAATTACCTGTAGTTTTGCTTTTTAATAACTATGGAACCCTTGCTTCTAAAGAAGACATTTTCCTCAAATCAAAAAGGAATGATACTGACTTAGTTGTGGGCTTTTCTTTTCTCCCATCAGTTGTCGCTGTGCTCTTTATCTAGGCCAGTTAGGTTTGCCTACTGACCATGAAGTTTCAGTATTGCCATCAATTCAACTGTTGATGTGAAGTAAATTCAGCTGACTACACATTTTAGCATTTAAGAATTCTCATGCAACTTCTCACCAAAGATCCACTTAGCCCAAAACCATATCTTCAGTAGTAGCCAGAAGACAGTGACGAGGTACACTAAGGTGAACGTTATGTGATGCTTCCCCAGTGATTTGCAGCTGAGCAACTTCTGGGTCAGAGGTATTTAAAAGCCCATGTCTAAATGCTTTCTGAAGTCTTGTAAATTGCTGGAATCCTCAACTTCATTTAACATCTAGTTACACAATTTAACTGAATGCTATGTGAAGTAGTCCTTCCTTTTGTTCATTTTGGTTTCCCGATGTAAGAGTTTAACTTGCTGTCACCTTCTTCATGAATTTTGAGAAACAGTTAACAATCATTTGCTAGTCAACTTTTTGCATACCACTAGTTTTAATCCCAATTAGTTGTCTCTTTTCCAGACTGACTAGTATGTTACACCATACTGAGACCTTTAGATGTATATCTTTGATTGTCCTGTCATTCTTCTCTACACATTTTCTATTTGTATGTTTTTTGAGATGAGGTAATTAAAATGGCACATATTATTCAGGCACGATACAGACTTATACAATGACATTTATACTCTGGCAGGTATTTTCTTTTTTGTTCTTTATGCTCCTAATCATTCCAAATACCCACTTTGCTTGTTTGGCTGCTTTTAAGTATTGAGCTGATATTTTCTTAAAACTGTCAGAGATAAATATAAGTATATAATAACTGTTATAGTTATCTATTATAACTCTAGTGAGAGTGCTAATAGACAATTTAGATCCCACATGTTGTATATCAAACTTAGTGTCTCTTTTGTGATGTGGATTACTTAATTTTTGGATGAATTAAAAATAATTTGCTTGGTTTTTTCCTATAGATCCTCAGTACTGTGCAATCCTTCAATGACTCTTCACAGATGGCTTTAATTTTCTCTACCATTAATACCGTCATTCTCTCTCTTTTCTAGATCATTTTTAATGTCTTAACCAACACAAATTGTAACAGATACTGATGTGATGTTGCAAGCTTCCCACAGGACTTGATCTTCATTAAGTTGAAGTGTCACAAGAAGATGAAAAACTAATTAAGTATGAATTTAGTGTATGCAAACACACTGAAAAAAAATAAGACCACTTATTCATATCCTTTGTTTCCTATTTTTATTCAGTTGTTC